AATTACAATAATTTAATTCTCATCGCAAATCAATCAATAATTATTGTTTCCAATAACCCGTTTTCTATTGGATAGAAAAGTAATTAAATTTAGATAATGTTTCAGTAAATTCAAAGATTGTCTGAATCAAATTAAGCGGGAGACTTAGTCACGTTTGCACAGAACAAAAAAATATTTTCATGTCAGAATTTGAAGTGTCTGTTACACAATTCATTTCGATTAGTATAAATTATAGTGTTTTAAAAAATTAGATGATTTAAAAAAATTATTTTTTTTCAATTCTTAATTATTTTCATATTCAACTCAATTTCAATTAGTTTAATTTAAACGAAACAATATCTAATTATTTGTATCATATTAAATTTGGTACAATTATATGTGATTCGGTTCATTTACTTTATTTCGGTTCGTCTGGCCTGTATTCACTACTCAACCCATTTCGGTTCGATTTTAGAACCGAATTGTGGGGTTAAAATGTTAATTCCTATTTATTGGGGTGATTTAATGAATTTGATAAAAACGAGGGGATTGGAAGTCAAGAACATTTTCGACCCGAGTCTAAATGATAAACTAGGAAATTACACATATAGCCTAAAATAAAGGCTCAACAAATACTTTGAAGCCCAATAAAAGTCCAAGAGAAAGGCCCAATTATGATCCACTAATTATCTTTATCAAACCTTAATTGTCTCCATGGCAAATGTATAGAGATGTCATTTAAGTCCGGAGCCCGAAACATGATCCGAACCCGAAAATTATAAGGATATGGGTATAAAAAATGTAGGTTCATTAAACTTCGGGCTTTCGGGTTTCGAGCCAAATGGGCTACAGGTCGGTCGGGCCGGGCCAGTCGGGTCTCGGGTCGGGTTTGAGGTCCGTTAATTTTTTTTTTGTTTTTTCTAACCTTCTTTTCTAAACCAAAGTTTTACCTCTCTATACTTATAAATATATGTGCCTAAATATATATATATATATATATATATATATGAACCAAATGATGAACTTTTATATCTTGGTTGTCATAGAATTTCTTTTTATCACGTTTAAAAGTTTTTAATCGCATATTGTGGTGTTGGAGAATTGAAAAATTGGATAATTTTTTTAATTTTATTTTTATTTGTGAACTAAATGACTTTGTTGTTATCGGTTTTAAAAATATTTTTGTTGAATGTTTCATATTATTATTATTATTATTATTATTATTATTATTATTATTATTATTATTATTATTATTATTATTATTATTATTATCGCAAAAAAATATTTTTATTTAATAAAAAGCCCGAAGATAAAAAATCCGAAGCCCGGTCCGAACCCGCCAGAAGTCCTGTAGAACCGGGCTCTGGACCATCGATCCTAGACCCGAAAAATAAATGGGCGGACCGACCCGACCCGAAAAATTCTAGGCCCGAATTGAACCCGGTCCAAATCCGGCCCGACCCGCCCATTTTACACCCCTACAAATGATGCGTGTATATATTCCGTACTTCTGACGGTGACACGTCATAAATAAATTTATGCGTGGGTCACCTCACTTTAGATACCAACTTTTTTTTTTTATATTAAAGTAAATGTATGTATATATATCGGAATCTCTACTGTAAAAATATTACAAAAAACGACAGAAAAATTGATCCAAATTACGATAATGCCACTGCTTCATAGCAATTGCCATATTGTTGAATGCGGTAGTGGAAAGAGGTATGCTACCACTGCATTCCCATCAGGATCCAAATTGTAAAGTGGAGAGATGCATTACAAAGATATTATATATATATATATACATACATATATATATAATATGGTATAAAGAAGAATGATAAGATAACCTTTTGGAAAAAGACTAGAACTTTGTTAAAGCCAAATGCATGAGCAGCCAATAAAGGACAAATTAAAACAAATGCGATTATAGAAGATCCATTTGTTAGGAATCTATACATACAATAAACATATGTAAACATAATTATTTTAGTTAAGTCACTTAATTTGAACGAATTCAATATAAAAATCGATTTTTTTTAAATCAGTTTGTTATCGATTTATAAAATTTAAATATGTCAGTTCATCATCAAACGCGATTCAATACATCTCGTAGTCTATCCAATATATCTATATGTATAAATCAAACTGAATTGGTATAATTTTATAAAATTAATAATAAAACAAAAAATAATCGAACGAGTGAAAGATGAAGGTGTTGAATGGATGAGGTTTTTATTTTGAGTTTTTGGATTTAGTTTTTGGTTTTTAGATTTTAGTTTTTGGTTTTTGGCTTTTGGTTTTTATAGATTTGTAAATCTAAAAAAATATAGCTTTTAGTTTTTAGTTCAATTCTTTCCATAAAGTAGTTTTCCTGGTTTTTAGGAAAACCAAATTTTAAAAACTTGATTGATAATTTTTTTGAGTTTTTAAAATCCAAAAACTCCCAAAACCCTTTACCATTCAACACCGAAATATCAGTTTTAGTTAAATAATTCCAATTAAGATAATTTGATATGACAGTCAGGTATTTGCATAAATATGAAAAATGCAATAATTAGGTTTTAGATCTGATCTGAACTCTCTACCAGTTAATACAATTTCTTTCAAGAATCTAATTTAAGTCTAACTTCGTTCATCCCATAAGCTAAAAAAAAAAATCAAAGGTAATTATGGATAAGATATCACATTCCTTACCAGAAATTTTGATTAATATCTTGAAGCTTTGATTTTTTTTTAAAATCAATATAATCCTAAAAAAAGCGAACTAATATGAAAATATATCAGTAAGTATTGTTCATCCACAGTTTTTTTTTCTATTCTAAATGTTATTCTTTCACTTTTTGGTTCACTCGTAAATGATAATTCTTATAGTTTAATCCAATATTAAAATATAAAATTCGGATATAAATAGAAAATTTTAACACATATATAACTGATTATTAAAATTTAATAAATTGTATTCTTTTTATCTGTACTAAAGAGAAATGAATTTGAACCTGGTATTCAATATTTTGAGAGTTTATATGAAAAACAATAAATATATTTTTTCGAAAAAATATAAAATATAAAAAAGTTTAAATATAATTTAAGCCGTGATGTTTTGTCTCGCTAAAGAAAATTGTGCGAATAATAAGAAGTTGGGCGATAAAAAAAAAACATTTTTGGACAAAAGTAGAGGAGATAAAAAACAGGAAAGCATGGAAGTGGGAAGGAGATTAGATCTCAGGATAATGTGATTTACGAATCCGACAAAACAGTTAAACACTCAGATCACCAAATGTTCTGATCTTTGGAAATTCCACCACTCTTGTTGTCTTCGATGTTTGACCACTGTCAATGATGGTCAAACCAGTCAACTTTATATATAATATAAAATAAAAACCTTATAAAAACTTTATTTTTTCAATATAAACAAATTTAACAATTCAACTACATTAATTCTTAATTTTATCTGCATTATTTAAACAAAATTGGCGTAAAAACATATCGTTAAATGACCATCATATCAATTCTTTCTATTGCTTATTTGGGTTGGATCTATCAATCTAAAATCTAAAATAAAATTTCCGAAATTCGATTCATAATTCAAACTTTAATCATTTTACTGGCTTGTAAATATGTAACTCGTTTGTAGTACTAATTTTTTTTCTAGTGTTTTAGTACAATAATAATTTCAAATATACACCATTTAGTTATCGGAGATAACCATTTAGATTTTTTTTTGTGTTGTAAATTTTGGAAACTGTATTATACATTAGACTGAAATTGTGTGAATTGTGAGTATTTTTTGTTTAACATCTTAATTTGAACTTTATTTACTGACATTATTACATTATTTGCTGGAAAAAAAATCACATTATCATACGCGCACACATAAATATTACACACACACACACACATGTATGTATGTATGTATGTATGTATGTATGTATGTATGTATGTATGTATGTATGTATGTATGTTGGATGATATACACACATATCGGAATTTAGGCACGTGCGTCCCACTCATTTCAGTCACTAATGTTGGGCATGATTAATTATTGATCTATTAAATGCTCAAGGCTGGATTTAAAAGGGGGAAACTAAGTTCTTTGTGGCTTACAATTTTTTGTCAGATGTTTTTTTTTTATATATTTTGAAATTTTGATAACAGTTCACTAATAAAAATGTTTTAAAAAGAATTTATATATTTCATTCAAATGTCACCTTTTTAAAAAAAATATAATTTTTAGGCTAAAAGGTCAGCTATATAAACATGCTGCATGTGGATTTACTTTGGCTGACATTCTGAAATTGATTTAGCATAGTTGGCACTATTTTGTTTGGTAACAATCCAATTGGGTAAAAACTAAAAAGTATGCAAATTAAATTAAGTGATTATAAAATAAAACAATTTATTTTATATCTAACACAATTAAAGTTAAATATTTCCATTTGGATATATAAAAAACAATCTAACTGCATAAGATATTTCTTTATTCATAATAAATTCGATAAAAAAATTCAATGTAACTTTTTAAAATCAAATTCTCGATAAATTATTATCAAAATTAAATTATACTAATTTCATAAAGCTAAACTCTATAAAAAAAATTCAAACCTAAAATGATTATCTCTACTATTAGATATACTACTATTTCTTTAAGTTTTTTTTATAAATATTATTCTTATTAACTTTAACGTATAGATTTAATAATAAAATATGACGACAAACACTGCTCTTTTCTGGTTACATACATTTGCAGCGGCAGAGACGGAATGTCGCTTCAATTTCATCAAATCGGGTTGGACTAAACGACACCGTTCTGAAACGGGAGCAAATCGTCTGTTACGCGGAATATTGGTCCCCAGTTAATCTGGACCATTGAATGGAATCTAGCAATGTCAACCGTTGGATGTTAATCTCGAAGCAAGTAGAATCCATTGTATTGCCTGCCACTTGAAAACGGGTCCCACACTTCGCCTTTTTCCCTCACTCACTGCTGGAACTGTTCGCATAAAAAGCAAACGCTTAGCGAGGAAGAAACAAACTCAATCTTCACACAAAGATTTCAAAGAAAAAAAAAACTTTTTTGTTGTTGTTGCTTAATCACTGTCTTCAGAATCGTGTTCGTTGGCTTAAATCTCTCTTGAAACAGTTGCAGAAATTCAAAAAACGCAGAGTTTTGTTGCTGAAAAATTAATTTATCGGGCTTTCGACAATTGCTTAGTTTGATTCTGGGATTTTTCTTTTTCTTTTTCATTTCCGCTTTCTGGGTTTCACATTAGCTTTTGTCTTTCCTCTTTTGAAATCGGAGTTCTTATGGTATCTACTTGCGAAGTGTTCTGTCTGAGCGGGAGATGGTGAGAAGCTCACTGCTTTGGTGTCTCCTTGTCTCTACTTGCCTCTTCACTTCTTCATCAGCACAGGCACCAGGTAAAAATCTCTCTGTCTCCTCCATGCCATGTCCTTGTTTGCTTGATTCTGAAATTCAACTGTATCTAGTCTGTGTTCTGTAATAGCTGGAGGAAAAACAACACAATGAAAACAGAGATCTAATCTTGAAGAAGACTGTTGTTGCAGCGTATGAAATCATGGTTCTTTGTTGACAGAAAAAAGCAGTGAGTTTGGTTTGATGTTGTGTGTTTGTGTCCGCTGCTGAAGATGATTTGTGCCTAAGTGGGTTTGTTAGATTGCCATAGAAAGAGAGATTGAGCCCTTAGAGGAAGATAGTGAGTGAAATTTGAGATCTAGAGAGCTTTTGATGCTGTATGGGAGGAGCTGATGCAAAAGAATCCAACTTTTCATTGCCAGTGTAATTGAAATCGAGCTTTTAAAGGAAGATAGTGTGTGAAATTTGAGTTTTTAATGCTGTCCAGTGGGAACTGATGCAAAAGAATCCAACTTTTCATTGCCCTTGTAATGAAATCGAGCATTTAGAGGAAGACAGCGTGTGAAATTTTAGATCTAGAGAGCTTTTGATGCTGTCTCGGATGAACTGATGTAAAAGAATCCGACTTTTGATTGCCACTGTAAGAGAAATCGAGCATTTAGAGGAAGATAGTGAGTGATATTTGAGTTCTTGTGATTCTTTTTGAGGGAACTAATGCAAAGGAATCGAACTTTTTCCGACGAGGGCAGGTTTCGTGAGCTTGGATTGTGGAGGAGCCGAGCTTTTCACCGACGAGCTTGGACTCAAATGGACACCCGATGATCATCTCATCTATGGAGAAACCGCAAACATATCAGTTTCTAACGAGACACGGACTCAGTACACGACGACGCTACGGCATTTCCCCGCCGATTCCAGAAAATATTGTTACACCCTTAATGTCACGAGCAGGAATAGGTATCTCGTAAGAGCTACCTTTCTGTACGGTAACTTCGACAACAACAATGTCTATCCAAAGTTCGATATCTCCCTCGGGCCGACCCATTGGGCGACGATTGTTATCTCGGATGCAAGCATTGTAGAAGTGGAAGAGATGATATTCCTTGCTCTGAGCCCTACCATCAGCGTTTGTTTGTCTAACGCCACGACAGGACAGCCTTTCATATCCACACTCGAGCTCAGGCAGTTGAACGGTTCGATGTATTATACCCAGTTCGAAGACCGGTTCTATCTCAGTGTCTCAGCAAGAATCAATTTTGGCGCGGATAGTGAAGCTCCCGTGAGGTTAGTACCGGCTAAAAGCCTGTCCTGTTCAAGTTCATTACAAGTTTAGTAGCTACAAGTTAACGTTTTTCGTGTGAAATGAATCATTTTTGGATATTGTTTCAGGTACCCGGATGACCCATATGATCGGATATGGGAATCCGATTTGCTGAAGAAAGCGAATTACTTAGTTGATGTAGCCGATGGGACAATGAGAGTGTCGACGGCAATGCCTGTTGATACGGCTAGCAATGACAGACCGCCTCAGAAGGTTATGCAGACCGCGGTGGTTGGAACCAATGGATCTTTAACTTACCGGTTGAACCTCGACGGCTTCCCGGGTTTCGGGTGGGCGTTCACCTACTTTGCGGAGATCGAAGATTTGGCTGCAGATGAGTCGAGAAAATTCCGATTAGTCCTTCCGGGTCAGCCCGATTTGAGCAAAGCTATTGTTAACATCAAGGAAAATGCTCAAGGACCTTATCGAGTTTATGAACCGGGCTATCCAAACATAAGCCTCCCATTCGTTCTATCCTTTAGATTCGCCAAAACAGCGGATTCTTCTAAGGGACCTATTCTGAATGCTTTGGAGGTTAGCAAATACGTGCAAAAAAGCGACGGTTCATTAGACGGTAAGCACGTTTAATCCGAAGTTTGAATCTTTTATCGGATATTAGATATGCATACACATATTCTCTTACCTATTAAGAAGATTTCGGGTATTGTTTGTAGCAACGGTTATTGCTGATGTGGCATCGCTCTATCCCTCGGCTGAATGGGCCGAAGAAGGCGGCGATCCTTGTTTACCTTCACCGTGGTCGTGGCTTGAGTGCAACACGGATACACAACCTCGGATTGTTACGGTGTAAGCAAATGTTTATGTGATCACAGTTTCAACTCCTTTATCTTTGATTGTTCCGTAACCCTTTTTTTTTTACTGCAGTAAGTTGTCGAGGATGAACTTGACGGGAAATATCCCGTCCGACCTCGGGAAATTGACCGGTTTGGTTGAGTTGTAAGTTAAAATTCTATCATATATAGACTGTTGAAATCTAAAGGTACACAATGATATCTTTTTCCTGACATTGCAACGCAACTTCGACTGGCAGATGGCTCGACGGGAACTCGTTTACGGGACCCATACCAGATTTTTCTCGGTGCCCAAACCTACAGATAATGTAAAACTACCGTCTTTTTCGGGTTAAATAGTTTCTTCCATGCATACGAATACATGGTTAACTAATGTTTTTTTGTATGAACAGTCACCTCGAAAGCAATCAGTTGGCCGGAGGGCTCCCTTCTTCTTTGGCGAAGCTCCCGAATCTAAGGGAACTGTAAGTTACTTGAACCCGAAAACACGGGGCTAGAAGATCGATGGATAAGTTTTCTCGATATGTTGATCCGTTTTTTTTTTTGTTTTTTGCTTCGATGTTTCCAGATACGTGCAAGATAATCTGTTATCAGGAACGATACCATCCGGTCTTCTGAGTAAAGATTTGAACTTCAAGTAAGCTTTTCCCTCCCATTCGAGAAACCGAGCTAAACATCATCTACATGAATGTATTTTTTCTTGATATCGTTTTGATTTTTCAGCTACTCGGGAAATATTAATCTTCGGGGAAGCGGAGATAAACGGAAGCAGCTCGGTGTCATCATCGGGTCATCGGTTGGTGCTACTGTTCTACTAATAGCTACTATTGTTTCTTGCATCTTCATGTGCAAAGGGAAGAAGGAGATGAAGAAGAAGAAAGCCTCGGGTATGATTTTTGTGGAATCTTGCATGTTTTTTTTTTGTTTATTGCGATTCTCGGGTTTTGGACGAGTGTGTTTAATCTTTTCCCGATTAATTTCAGCAGAGTTAATCAACCACCCGTTGCCTATTCAACGAGTGGCGTCTAGCTTGAGCGACGCTCATGGAGAAGCTGCGCATTGCTTCACACTCTCTGAGATTGAAGAAGCCACGAAAAAGTTCGAGAAGAGGATCGGCTCTGGCGGTTTTGGGATCGTGTACTACGGGAAAATGAAAGACGGGAAAGAAATCGCGGTTAAAGTTCTCGCCAGCAATTCTTACCAGGGAAAACGAGAATTCACAAATGAGGTAATACCATGTAATCGCATTGACATGCGTTAAAAGTATCGGTTTTTAGCTTATCAAAGGCTCTCTAGGAGGTGACTCGAGTGCCCGTTATGTGTTGATGTATGGTTTTTTAGCTTACCAAAGGCTATAGGAGGTGACCCGAGAGCGTC